CATGGCTGAAAGGGCAATATAATACAAATAATATATATATATATATAGATGTATAATGTTATGAGATTTCAGTTTTTTAGACTGTTATAATCTGTAGTCATTCTAGAATAAAAAACATAATTCATGTTGATTTCATAATTTTTTTATGGTGGTTATGAGGTCGGTCAAATTGATCTAACCCATAAAGAGACACAGTAGTGAAAATAAAAATAAAGTTTTTCAAAAAAAAAAACATTTGATAAATAAATGAAGGTTATAAAGATTTCACATGTGAAATCTGAAAATTTTCTGATGCATAAAAGTATTTTTAATCTTAAAATCAAAATTACTTTGCATGTTAGATTTTCTCTTCAAGTTGTAAGATGGTTTTTATATTTTTCCTTAATCATTTGGTTTATCACATTAAGCTGGAAGGAAATTAACTTAAATATGTATTTTCTTACCATTCTTTACACCTGTTTTTCCACCAGAAAGAATGCCCAGAGGTAGATTTCCACTAGGTGTCAAGCCCTTCAACTGGAGAACACTTTCATTCTCTTCTCTGCAAAATTTAACAAACAGTTCATCTAAAGCAATTTCCCATCCTTTTTTGCTAAGCACACCCTTCAGCGAACAATGAGCACTCATGCACCCTTCTAATGAATTTTTAAAACAAATACCTAAAGTGACCAAAAGAGAGATGTTCAACGAATGGACGAGAAGCATGAGGGTGGATGTTGCTTGCCACAAACACATCCATACAATGATTTGCTCAAACTTTTGAAAAAAAAAACCTCTTATGCTTATGGTTTAATATAAACAAATATAGCTTTGAAATTCTCCAAACTTTTCTGTCGACCACCCTGCCTCCCCCTCAAAGTTTACTGCCCTCCTGAATTTTAAAAATGGCCATTAGAGGGTGGTATCACCCAGGTTGAGAAACACTGATCTAAAATGAAATATAGACACTAAAGAGTTTAATATATTTACCTGAGAAATTAAAAATTAAAACAAAAAACAATCTATCACCTGGTTGGGGGGGGGGGGGTGAGTCACTATACTGTTAAGATACTGAATGCACCAAACAAACATAGATATTTCTTCATATTACATGAAAAACATCTTATACTTATCCTATTTTACAAGTAGCATCATGGCCAACTACTGAATTTGTATGTGCATGAAATTGAATGTTTATCAGCAAACACACTTAATAACAATTTACACAAAAAAATGGTTTTTTAACAGTTATCTTAACAAGTATATAATTTTAAAGGTTTCAAGGAAGAAAAATTCACTACCTGAACTAGTGTCATTGAGGTAGCTAACCAAGGCTGATGCAACTGGCTAGTCACAGTCAGATTTACCCAACAATTTTAACTGTTACATCTTTTACATTGAACAAGACTAATAAAACCAAAAGGCAACAAAATTTTGATCAAATGCAAGCTTAGTTAAGATTATTTTACTGAATAAACTTATATCAATTCTAATACCACTATTAAAGCTAAACAAAAAATTTACCTCAATACAGAAAACACACGAGCCATTTTCCCAATTGCTCTGATTTTATTTCGAATGACTTCTTTTCTTGCCCCTGCTGCACCACCTACATAAAGTTAAAACAGTTCAACATAAGCTACAGTTTTCATACATACTTCCAACACAAAGCAATTATTAACCCTTCATTTGTCTATTACCCTTTGAAGATGTATTAAAATTTCCTGATTACAATCTTCAGCATACTGTGAATTTTAAAGTGTGAAAACTGTATCCTATTTGTGTATTGAGTAGCTTTAACACACTTTTATAAGTTTCCAATTACATTACACTTTCTGATCACAAGTGTAATGCAAAGAAAAACAAAAATCATTACAAAGCACCATTTGATATTTCTAACACTGAATTAAGTGCATGTTTTTTTGTCCATTCATGTATGAATCATAAATTTACTGTCATTAAAAGCAAGGAGGGCATTACATAAAATATAAAAATTTGTCATTCATATACAGATTGTAAATTTATTGTCATTAAAAGTAAGGAGAACATTACATAAAAAACAAAAAATTGTCATTCATGTGAAGATTGTAAATTTATTGTTATTAAAAGCAAGGAGAACATTACATAAAAAATAAAAAAATTTCATTCATGTACAGATTGTAAATTTATTGTCATTAAAAGCAAGGAGAACATTACATAAAAAAATTGTCATTCATGTGAAGATTGTAAATTTATTGTTATTGGGCATTATGTAAAAAAAATTGTCATTCATGTACAGATTGTAAATTTACTATCATTAAAAGCAAGGTGGGTGTTACATAAAAAATAAAAATTTGTCATTCATGCTTCAAATTTTCAGCTGGATTCGTTTAATTTATTAGAAGAAAACGAGCAACTGGTCCAACAACTATTTTGTAATCCAACAGAAGGGTTCAAAATCTAAAAACAGTTCCAAATTTCATCTCCAAAATACACACACACTACAATGAAGATTTCTCTACTATTCAAAATAATCATTACCTATCATTCAAACTTTGATTTTTTGTATTAAAACATGCTGTTTGTTACAAACTAATCATAATGTCAAAGAAATTTGCTCTAAGCAACATGAAGTTTAAATAACTTTCAAATGTCTACTTCAGTACTAAGCCTAAAAGTAGCTGAATACCAAAAGCTAACTGTTTATATTTATTATTTAATTCATATTATGACTCAATGAAAGTAAACTTTATAACAAACATTGCAAGTGAAAAAGTCAATAAGTGAAAAGAAACTCCAGGACTTGCAGCCACCAGCAGAGCCAAGGCTCTAAAACTGAGCTATCCAAGAGCACAAACCAATTGTTTTTGTATCACCACTAAGGCTTTTTAAGTACGATATGAACCTCATATTATATTGTGTAATTCTGGTCAGGTAATTAGTGGGTTGACTGCACTGGACCTGTTTGCCAAAGGTCCTGGTTCACTCCACGAGTTTCTTTTTCATTTATTAGCTTTTTCACCTAAAATAATGTTTGTTAGAAAGTTTACTTTCATTGAGTTATGATATGAATTAAATAATAATAATAAAAAGTATATACACGCGAGTCTAAGTAGACTCTTATGATTTGTTTGAGTGGTGTAAAAACAATCCATCAATTGCCTGACCACAACAGCACAATGTAGTACGAGATTTGTACTCATGCCTTAATGGTGAAACAAGTTGTGGGTGGTTTGTACTCTTGGATACCTTGGTTGATAGGGCATTAGCCCTGTTAGCCATAGGTCCTGGGTTCATGGCTCAGTCTTGTAGTTTCTTTTTTTACTTATTAGCTTTTTCACCTACAATAATGTTTATTAGAGAGTTTATAGCTACCTTCTAAGACTTCTTGACTGGCAATAACACTCTTCAAGTTTTAGCTCACATACATTTACACAAACAAACTTCTTCCTCAAATTAGTGATCACAAAATCACTTAGCAAGTGTTTTAATTATTCACACTATTAACCAAAATATTGGTGTGTGTTAGGATTTTAACAGTGGACAGCTTGGGTTTTAGTAAAATTACTGTTCTTTCAAAGAATGCCTTAAAGCTTGATTTTTAGCATAGCTGGTATTCTTCGAAAGCCATTATGATTGACCTATGATATGCTACATAGTATATATACTCTACAAGTATGCTTTCTTAGCTTGTACCTTGGCAAGCTTGACACAAAATACAAAAACAAATTTCCTAGACAAAACGTGTTAAAAATACAAGTGATGATCCTTCAAGTGAGCATTTCTCCACCAAACTTTACAATGCATAATGATACTTGTCCACCTCAACTTTTTTCTCCAAATGCTTATAATGTTGTTCTTATAGAATTTCATCTGAAGAGCTTTTACTTTTTACATTAGTGAAGTGTAATTTACATTTATAAATGAGCTACGTAAAATAATATTTGTCCAACAAAACCATATATATCATTCAAAGAGTTATGCCAATCTTAAAGTGCTGCCTATTTACAAAACTTTTGCTAAGAAATCTTCAAAATAAGCTGAGAACACATCTTGCTATAATAATAATTACACACAATCTGCTTTCATAATCATCAGAATCGGAGTATGCAATCAATTACAACTGTTAATTTCCACTCAGTGATATTCACTGAACATACTCGGTAAATTTCTGTTTAATAAGAGAACTTAAAAAAATATCATTGCGACTGAAAGAACATCTTGAACAGTTTTTCATACTATTCTACATATTTACATGTTAAGTACAGGAAAACACAAACTAGAACTACAACAATAAAAAAAGGATTAAAAGTGTAACTTACGTGTCAAAAAATGAAGAGGAAAAAAGGAAATGTTTGGAAAGAAATTTTAAATACACTTATTAGTCATTATACTGAACTCAACTGGCAATGTATTGTAAGTTAAAATTAAATTGAAATCATTCAACTTTCTAGCAAGAGATCACCATAAATTTAATGTTTACTATGTTAAACTTTTGGTAGAAACACATATAATACAAAAGTTTATCCAATACCAACTAGAAATAACATTAAATACCAGAATCATACAAGAGTTAGTAAGTCAAGCAGTATAAGTTATACTTACTAACTCATCAGCAAGATTTTTAAACACAAATTGCAATTTTAAGAATGAATACAAATTTCATACATACACAAATACAGACGAAGTAAAGAAGGAAAAATCTTCAGGATGTAATTAAAAGTTAGCACAGTACACACATTAGCTCATTCTCAAATCACATTATTTCATGTACACTAGAACAGGAGGAACAATACATTTAATTGTATCATGTAACAGAAACCTAACACACTTTGGAACTGGAAGTGAGTTTCCACTATTTTTTAAATTAATAAACAAAAATAACAGATCTATTACAAATACGTTTTACTGTGTTGTACAAGATACACATAACAAACAATTTTTTATTTTATTTTATATTTTACTGAAGGAAACCAAGCACAAGATTAATCAACAAACCTTAAATAGGAAAATACTGCAAATCCAAATCTTTGCTTTTTAAGACCCTTAGCTTAGTATAAAAATGCTTCCATTTACAGACATATCATTCAAGAAGCACAAAAGAAATTCATTTAACAACCCATGCAATGGTTTACTACATTTGAAATGCTTCTCAGTGAATGAGAAGAGTCTGCCATACTTAATTCATGATACAAGTAAAATATAAAATCCAAAAAATTAATAACTGTTCTAAAGTTTCTTTAAATTAAAATAGATAGATATTCTAAAAATTTAAAATTTCTATAAAAATTGGAAATTTGCACTAGAGTTTGATAAACACACGTTTTATTGCAAAACCAATATTTTTCACGAATACTTTCTTACCACCTTGAATCTGAAATTAAAACTTTAGTTTTGATCTGGGAAGAAAATAAGGAATAATTTATATAGCTGCTGCTTTCAAAGTACCAATGATAAAAAACAGAGTTCCAGTGATGTGGAGACATTATAAGTTAAGTTTTAGACACTGAGTAGAATAGTTATTATCTTCAAACTTGTAAACAGGTGTAAAAAGTTCCTGACCAGAGAACAACTTAACCCTTTCCAGCCTGGTTGCAGTAAACTGCCATTTCTGCATTTACATTCTTACAAATACGTAATTAATAAATGTCACCATATCTGAAACATAAAACACTTTAAACATAAAGCATGACAACCATTCAATGTTTTTTAACCTAAATTAGATATTATTGGAGAGTAAATTTATGAATAATAAAGAAATAAAAAGTACAATGTGAATAGTTACATACTATGTCATTATGCTCACAAACACTGGCCTGAAAGCCAGATTTGATGCTCTACAGACTACACAAGATTCATTAGTATTCCTTTTATCTTTTTCATTTATAAAAATTTGGCCAAAAACAATTAATTTTCCAACCTGAACAACTCAAAAATCACAATATTGTTGGGATCAAGACATATTTCAAAATGGCAAGAATGGAAAAGAAAGACCCCGCGGTAACTAGAAAAATAGAAAGTATGGGATTGGGCACTTGATAACCAAATATCGAGGATATCGAAGACCCCATCTCTAAAACCCATATAATAAACTCAGAGATACCAGCAACTGTAGGACAAGAAGCTGTGATATCCCAAGCCAGGGCCCAGGTGCAAAAAACATTCCATTTCCACTGAATGAAGGATGAACGGAATGACCTAAATGAAATGCCACCCACATTGTCCATTCCCTGGTGAGGAGATCCGGTTTCTCCAATGGAGTGGTCCCTTCATCCTCTTGTTTTTTGGTGGCTTTGCAATCAGTGGGGTATTCCTCATATCGATGCATTTGCCACCACTCTCAAATCCCAGTTACCTTTATTTTGGTCCCCAGTTACCCATCCTCAGGCTTTGTCTATGGATGCCTTCAGCCAGGATTGGTCGAACAAGTTTCTTTATGTTTATCCTCTTATCCGATTACTTCATTGGTTAGTCTCCCTCAGCCATACCACTCTGTGCATAGTCCTTCTGATTGCATCTTACTGGCCCATTCAACCGTGGTTTCCTTGATTACTCCAGCTACAGTTATTCCCTCCCTTCCCACACTTCACATCCTCTATTCGTAAACCTAGTCGGGTTGGGAAAGATGATCCACCACAAGGTTGAAAGCACCTGGTACATGACCCACCATCAAACAAATGTGTTGATCGTGGGCCCAAAGAGAAAAATCAAATGTTAGAAAACACAGGGATCTTGACTGGGTGCCACCTGGGTTATTGATATTAGCCACTACTGTTGAACTGTGGAATGAATCATGATCAGATGATCTCTGGAGATGAGAAGTGATCCAACATCTGATAAACAGCAAGGAGTTCAAGATGTTGATATGAAGAGAACACTCCCCCACAGACCAATGACTCAAAGCCTCATGGTGATTGACCCATGCATCCCAACCCTGAAGGGATGCATCCATGAACAGATGTAATTTTGGCTGTGGAGAAGGAAGCAGGACACCTGCCGATGTATGAGCATTGTCCAACCATCATCGGAGATCGTTCACAATGTAGGAAGGCAGGGTGGAGAACCCATTGAAGGGATCACATATGAGCCCAGCTGAGGGGTATGAGAGGTGTCACAGAAGACCACATTCCAAAAGTGATAGAACCTTGTGAGCAGAAATTGAAGGAGCAGACAGGGCGTTCCAAACAGCCAGTTCTGAAAATGAGAAAGTAGGGCCCGAATGAGATGGGTGTTGAAGAAAACACCCAGATGAAAGAGGTATTGGATAGGATGAAGGAAGGACTTCTCCAACTTGATCAACCAGCCCAACCGAGCAGCTTTGAGAAGGAGCTGGAGAGTATGACAGGCTGACTCCTGTTCAGAATGAGCAAGAAGAAGCCAGTCATCCATGTAAAAGTGAAAGCACAACCCCAGAGCATAAATATCTAGAGTAAAAGTTTGCACCACCTGACAGAAAAGTACTGTGCGAAAACCAGCCATAAGGGAAGGGTGTGAAATTGGTACACCACCCCATGATGGACAAACAGAAGGTAAGCTCCGATATGGGAATATGCAGATGAGCATTGGAGACATCCATCTTGGTCATCCAAAAACCCAGAGGAAAAACTCACTGAAAAGTAAGGTAGGATTCCATGACAAAGTGTGGGGTGTGAACATATTGATTGAGATGGGACAGGTCAAAGACCAGCCTCCAGTCCTCTGTCTTTTTGGGAACTACAAAGAGGCAGGAGTAAAACCCCCTGAAATGCATGGAGCAGATTTGATAGACATTGGAATGACAAAGGATCCTGAGGAGGAGGAAAGGAAACAGGCACATGGGACAAGGGAGGAAGGGTAAGAAAAGGTATGACAAACCCCTCTGACAAAAGTCTGTGAACCCAAACATTGGAGATGAAAGGGCTCCACCGATGAACAAAGGTTGCCAGATGAGCGCCCACCAGGTAGTCACCAGAACCATAGTTGGCGTACCAAGCATCATCATGAAAAATGACAAACAAGGGCACCGCAGGAAAAGGGAACAGGCAAGGGCTCGGAGACAGGATTTGGTGTCACAGTTGGCTCTGACTGGGACAAACAGGTCACCAGATGAGAAAGGGTGGATCGTTGTTGGACTGAAGCTACCCTCAACTCCAAAGACTCCGGGATCGTGTTAAACATCAAACTTCTCAAAAACAAGGCCATACAAAGGTCCCATAGATAAGTAGCCAGTAGACTGGTCAGTGAGAATATGGGATCATGACCCAAAAGGTTCCAACAACAAATAAGACCATGTTTGCAGGGCCAGAGCATTCATTTTCACTACTAAATTCACAACAAATGTTAATCTTAAATCTGAAGATTTAAATTACAGTTATTTTGCAGTGATTCAAGGAAAGAGAACAAACAGAATTCAGATTGGAACCTGAAGCTGAAAACATATTGAAGCAGTGATTCAACAGTGACTGGTGTTGTAGCCAAGGAAACTACAACCCACAGCAATATTCATTCAGATTCTTGGACATAGGGCAGACTACAACCATCTATTACTAAAGAACTGGCCAGTGTGATCTATGTATCTACTTAATATTTAACTGCAGAGATGCAGAACTATGTGCTTCCTCACAGGCAGACCAGGGTCATCACACATACTTCAGGACTGCGCAGAGACTTTGGACCTGGCCAGAAGACCAGACCCCATCACACATACTTCAGGAATGCACCTTTACACAGCCCAGACATTTTGGACCAGGCCAGAGGAACAGACCAGCACACTAGGTTGTTGGGATTGGCAGCAGATCTTAACCAGACCACCCAGTTCATGACTTCCATCATATTGAAGATCTGATGGCCAGTTTAATATGCAGTGTTGTGTTTTTATAAGAGTGCATGACATCATTAATTTTAAAAAAACTGAGTAAGTGGAGGCTACATTAGATATACAGACAGTCATACCACTTCCCTGTTAATTCCTGAAGGACAGCTCTACACCAGCTTCAAAGCTGAAGTGACAGCTATCATTGTCATAGTTGACCACCGCGGGGCATCCAAGAAGAATTTCAAAAATGTCATTGTGACAGATTTGATGTCCTCTCAACAAGCCTTGACATCCAAGAACACTGATGCAGCCTCCAGAACTATCTTGTACTGGATTCTGTCCCATTTAGGAATCTGGACAATGAGACAACAGACCAACTGGCCACAAACAGGCCTTGATGAAGAAACTTGCCAGGACCAGTTGGGGAGGTAACTCTAGAATCCTGAAGCAAGTTTACACTGGATCCATCAGGTCAGTTATGGAGTACGCTTCAACCATTTGGTCAACATCATCTAAAACC